TATATATATTTATATATATTTGGGGAAGCCTCAGTCTACCAAAATGTGAGACCACACACAGAACAAAATAAAAAAAGAAATAATAACCATTTGTTCAGTTGTACGGACAAAAAATATGCACAAGAAAGAGATGCTACCTAATGACATTACCTTGGATGGGGAATTACACTGTGTCTGTTTTTATTTCTACTCTTAATGCATCAAGGCATTAATTACCTCTTTGGTTCTACGAGGGGAAATATATCAAAAAAAAAAAAAAAAAAAAAAAAAAAACCGTGGAAAATTTCCTAACCCCACTCTACGTTTTTACCTTTAAAGAAAATAAAAGAAACATTTAATGCACTTTGAAGAAAAACCATTATCACCAACATGAGCTATATGACTCTACCATTCATCAGCCCGTCTATCAACAGAGTGCAATCACAGAAATTACAACGGCGAGGAGCACGTAGGGTGGGAGCACAGAGATGGAAATACTTAAATCAGGCAGCTTATCTCCCAAACCAATGCAAACATCGGCGCGTGAGGGGCACACAATCCGCCCACTCGTAAACGTTAAGGCTGGTATTATGCTTCTGCCTTCAGGGCAGTCGTACCATGTATTGTCGCCAATGTATCTCAGCTGAACCATGTCCTTCTTACACTTAATTTCAGCACACACATCGCCAATAGGAACAAAGAGAAGATGAAGGGAGTCCCCCTTCACACATCTTGAGGATGAAGAAACGCGACTTCCAGGCATGGCTAACAGCTCACCATTGGTGCACCCAGTATTGGTGTATTCTGCAATATAGGGGCAATAGTCCATCAAGTTACTCGCACTGGAACCAACTGTGGGATTAGCGAAGTACTGATACTGAGTGGGAAGAGAGGAGGTATATGTCCCGATGCGACAGATACCCAATGCCCGGCGGTCAGATGTGCATCTTAGTGTGTCACTGTCGGCGGTGCAGAACATATCTGGATAGGCGGTAACACCATTTTCCACGCATTTGTCAGTCAGCAGCTTACAACCGGACATACGGCCCCAGGACATCGGTTCTTCCATTCCCCATACCGCTTTGTAAAAACCGAGGTCCTCCATCGCTCCCATTGTTAGTGCTGTGTAGTATCCGGCTCCCGCGATGCCACTCATAAGCTCATCCTTAGCGTTGCGACGCTCCCAGTGTGATAATGCAGTCCCTTCTCCACCCTCGTCCTCCAATTCCATGCCAGGGGCAGTGCCGCAGTTGAAGTGTGCACGGGTCTTCTCCAGTGTCCTGGGAGACGCCACTACGAGCACGTTACTTTTACCACGGAGGCCGGGTATCTGTACTACAGACGAATGACTTTGCAGCATTGTAACGCTGAACCCAAGAGCATGGGCTATCTCGTGCGTGACAACACGAACATTGTTCTCAGTGGCAGTGGCAACTTGCGCGCCGAAGTTCATGACACCCACGACAGGGCGTCCAGTAGTCAGAGCACTGCACAATGTCCCCCGTAAAGTCTGGACGGACATCCGATGCTGAAGTACAATACTTCGATGGATTCTTAATGTCCTCCGTAAAGACGCGGAAGCGCATGGTCTCCCAGGTTGGGATGTGGATGGCCGTTGCCTGCTCCCCACTGCTCCGTTGGCGCGGCACATCCCGCACCACAACTGTCGTTGGGGTGCCGGCCTTGCGAGCGATCTTGTCAAAAATGCACCTGTGCTCCGCGCTGGCGAAACAAGCAATGGTGCAACAAAGGAGTAGCACCACAGTGTGTGGTATACAGCGCATCATTTGGTTTCTTATTGTGTGTACGGATTTTGTGTCAAGGAAATAATGTTGTGGTTAAACTAACTTATATGGTGTTAAAATGCATTGGAAGAAGAAAATATTTCATGTTTTTTTTTGTATATATGTGTAGGTTCATGATTTGTTTACATATTCTCGTGTTTGTAAGGCAGACGAACCGGTTTGGTTTTCGTTTTTTCGCAATATTTTTTACCCATCTTTTAGTATATTAGCAAAGTTGTGGTAGTTGTATATATTACATTGTGTTTGTCAGGAAATGGGTTATAGTTGTGTTGGGTCTGTTACTGGTGTTATCTGGGATGTTCTTTATGTTGTTTTGGAGTAAAGCCACATGACAAATTATTGAAGTTAAGATTTAGGTATATATATATATATATATATATATATATATATTGGCTTGGGTTGACATAATCGTTACGGATCGTATTACTTCTCATCCCACACCAGATTATGGTTGTTTTGCGTTTGTAGTAGAGTATTGCACGCAAGTTGTCGAAAGGTTGAGTAACGTTATTTGAGGTATAAGGTGGTGTTTATTTTATAGTTTTTTTTTATCTTTGTTATACTCTTTACTTTTGCAATACCGTCAATGACTTCTTATTATTATCTAAAGAATTAAGTTGTACTTAAATAATTTTTTTTTCCGCACAATGTACAAATAATATCCACGAAGACAAAATTATTGAAAAGAAGACCAATAAAGCCTTTATATATGCATTTTTTTTTCTTGTATGGTACATATAAATCACTACGTTAAATTCCATGGACCCATACTACTTGCGATACAAAGAAAAATGTGGCACTGTTTTTTTTGTCTATGCTCTTGTATTTAGTCTTCTCCCCCTAATCCTATAAAGGAGGATGTAACAGAGGAAGATAATTTTGTTTATCAGTATATCCGATATCTAAATTCTCATAATATATATTGAATCCCCCCCAAAAAACACCAGACAAAATATTATATTCGAGATTATTGTAAACTTACGAAGAGGTAGTTTTTTTTTTTCATAAAGTAACGCAATCGTCAATCCCCTCCGCGGGGTATGGAAGGAAGATGAGTGTGAAGGCAAAAGTAGCAGATCACTCGCCAATTTAACGGAGTATTTCTGGACGGATAAAAAAAACAAAGATAATAAGCAAGGTGAAACGAGGTATATACACAAAATACACCTAATTTATTTGGCCTCATCTAGTTCTACATTATTTGAGTAAACTTCCATTTAGTTAACTCAAGGAAGGCAACATAAGGTCAGCGAATATTATTTAATTTCCAATTGTTCAAGTAAGTCATTCCAACCAAATTTTCGTTCATTGTCATTGCTATAATTAATGATACCTTGAATGGTCTTACGCAAAGCTTGGTATTTATGAAGTCTTTCCCTTCCTTCAAATTCTTCTTGAGGTGTAATTTTTAAATCGTTTTGTTTGCCTGGACCAAGTGAATACAAACAATCCATATAGTCATAATAATTCTCATCTAGAGGTAGATTTTTTTTAAACCGACACCATTGTAAATGGGTAGAGGAACCGACATTGCGTAAATTTGCCATTTCAATATGCGCGAAGGAGCGGAATATTCCTCTTAATGTCACATCATCTATACTTGAGCAAAATAAGGTTACTGTAAGCTCTTCAAAACCCTTTAGTTCTGTCCAACCTTTTAAGCATTCTTGGTGAAAGCGTAAGAGTTCCATACTTGGTAACTGTTGAAAAAGAATCTTAATACGATCTCCAGAAGTTGTAATTCCTCCCTTTATGCGAAGTGTGCGTCTTTGAATAGTTTCCACTGCCTTTAGCAGAGATTCTATAGTTTTACTTGTTGTTTCACTTGTAATTTCAGTTAAATTTGATCTAGACATTATTGGACGCACTGAATTTGCTAATGGAATTTGGGATGAGAAAGTCTGGATAGAAAAATTTCGTTCCAAATGACCTTGAGAAGAACTAACTTCTTCGTTTTCTAACGTAGTTTCTGATTGACGAGTCAAGGCTATTTGAGGAGAAAAAGTTCTATCTTCCTGATTTGGTTGTCGTAACGAAATATACAGCATCCCTTTCAAAACTACTTTTTTCATAACGCGAAGCGGAAGTCCAAGGTAAGCATATGCCCTCATCACAGGGTCAGTTAAGAGCAAATTACGCCAGAGAGAGATGGCGTCTGCTTCTGCCTGCCACTGTCTTGACACAAGCGCGCATACAAGCAAATCTCTGCCTGACAAAAAAGGGAAGACCTCACCCAAAAAAGTGGTAATAAACGGACGGCGCTGCCGTCTCGCAGGCGGCATTGGCGGTGTTGGGTTCATTATTTAAAAAAAAATTTTTTTTTTTTATTTTTCACGGCTTTAGATTTTGTTTCTGCTATTTTCCCTTTTTTATTTTTTTTTTTTTATTTCTACTACCTGAGCGATTTTTTTTTTTTTTCACTGAGAAAACCAAAAATAGAAATAATAATAATAATAACAATAATAACAATACTAATAATAAAAACAATGACGTTTGAAGGGGAAACCGCGCCCACAGGTTGCGACGGGGGAGGGCGGAACAAACGCGGCAATCCCGCCGGCGACGGCAAGAACAAGAACAACAACCACAACAAGGAAAGCAGTGGCACGGCGACCGGCCCGCCCCCGCCCCGCCGCCGTCTTTTTGTTCGTGCCGTGTTTTTTTTTCGGGCGGCCGTGGGGCGGGGCAGGGGTTCGTTTCTCACCCCCGGCCCCCGGCGCGGGCGCCGCAAAGGCCCGGGAAGTCTCGCGGCTGTCACCCTTACTTCCCGCTTTTGGATGGTGTTCGCACGGGCGGCAGGGGGCCAGTTAACGGGTTTCTTGTGTTTTTTTTTTCTATTGTGTTGACGTTTTTTTTTTTTTTTT